TTACTACTACTAACTCTACTACTACTTACTAGACTACTACTACTACTACTACTACTTACTATACTACTACTACTCTACTACTATATTGCTGCTTATTACTTTACTACTAATGCTACATACTACGACGATTACTTCTTTAAATTCTTGTTTTTTGTTTTTCTACTACTACTACTACTGCTACTAATACTACTAGTGTTACTACTGCTACTACGACTACTACTACTACTTCTACTACTACTACTACTGCTACTACTTGACTGCCACTACCATCATTATTACGACTGCTACGAATTTCATTCCTACAACAACTACTATTACTACGACGACTAGTACTAGTACTACTACTACTACTACTACTACTACTACTACTACTACGCGACTACTCGACGACGGCGACGACTACTCTTACTACTACTATTACGATTACTATTTCTACTACCTACTACTACTACTACTACCTACTACTACTACTACTACTACTATTACTACTACTACTACTACTACTACTACGACTACTACGATTACTACTGTCACTAGTACTATTACCACTACTACTATTACTACTACTACTACTACTATTACTGCTACTACTACTACTACTACTACTGCTGCTACTACTACTATTACTACGACTACTACGACTACGACTACTGGCACCACTGATGCTACTACTACTACTACTACTACTACTACTACTGCTACGACTACTACTACTACTTCTACTACTACAACCACTAATACTACTACTACGAAAATTCTAGACGCTTCGCGTATCCCCACCAGCCCGTCCAGAAATGAGCCCCAGAGGAGTGGAGGTGATGAGGGAAGCGGGGGAGCATGCAGAAGAACAAAGAGCGGGTCAAGCCGCCATACGTTCCAAGAGGGGGAGGATGTAGGAGGAGTCGTCGTCGTCGGAGTAGGAGGAGGAAGACGAGGAGCAGGAGGAGGAGCAGGAGGAGGAGGGGGAGGAGGAAGAGGAGGAGGAGGAGGAGGAAGATGAGGAGGAGGAGATGGAGGAGGGCGAGGACGAGGAGGACGAGAAGGCGGAGGAGGAGGAGGAGAAGGAGGAGGAGGAGGAGGGGGAGGGGGAGGAGGGAGGAGGGAGAAAAAGAGGAGGAGGAGGAGGACAATGGCGAGCTTGGGGGCCTCTTGGGCCGTCTTTGGGGCCTCTTGGCGGTCCCGGGGGCCTCTTGCGTATCTCGGGGAGCTTCTTGTGTCCTTTTGGGGGTCTCTTGGAGGCCTCTTGGAGGCCTCTTGGGGGCCTCTTGGGGCCTCTTGGGGCCCTCTTGGGGCGCTCTTGGGGCGCTCTTGGGAGCCTTCGGGGCGCTCTTGGGGCCATCTTGGAGGAGATCTATCAAGAAGGGGG